CCCTAAACCGCTAAACCCTAAAATGACCAGGAGAGGAGCGGTTGCTGAGGCTTGCCATCAGTAACAACTCGGAATTAGGTTCCTCGCCTCATCTGACCTCGTTGTTGTTCCTCCGTAGCATCAGCGGCACATGGATATAGGCTATAGCGTTTAGGGCCATTTAGGGTTTAGGGATATAGGGTCGAGGGTTCAGGTTTTGCGGTTTATTTTTAGGGGGCTTGTCGCGCGATGTCATGATTTAATTCAATGCGTTTGCCCAAGCTAATTCCAAGATCCTCACCCCGGGCCGCAACCCTGGCCTCTGATGTTTACAGGTTTAGAAGACACGCAGGTTAAGTTTTGGAGAAATTAGGGTTGATGGGTGAGGATGCCAAAGCCAGCCCTGCTTTCGTGAGGCGTGTTGTAGTTACGATTTTCCCCAAGCTAAACGGCACTGTCCTTCAATGCTTGTGAAACGTGTGTGAGCAGTGGACACAACCTCACATGAAAGCACTAAGCCCTAAACCCTAAGCCCTAAACCCACTAGCGCTGTAAGGGGAGCGGTGAACCTTCGGTGTGGTGCACATCCATCCTGAGATTTGCTTTCGACACAGCCTGTTTCCATAGACTCGCCAACCCCTGAAGCCCAAGACCAAGCGCCCCCATCCTTGGACCCTGACCACAAAAGCGAAACCGTAACCCAGCCTTGATCAAAGGAGATGTTTTATAGAGAAGACGGCCAGCCCTACTACGAATTCACAGGAGGAGGCCAGAGAGAGACAGGATTTCGTGGGTGTGTTTGGCAAAGGATGTTAGCCCCAAGCCCTGTTTCAAAAGGTCCAACAAAGCCGCCATACACTAATCCCGAATTGCTGACTCGTTTGAGGCACGTCAAAACCGTAAACCTTACACTCCGTGAAGCCCAAAATCTGAAGTTCAGAAAAGAACTATGTTAACAGTTGACACCTGCGTCCGACAATCCCTACACCTGAGCCCTAAACTCTTGACAAAGAACCTCCCAATCCCAAACGCAGGCCTCTACCCCGTGTCTGGACGATGCCAGCGCGGCAAGCAGCGTGTTGGGACGCGACCCTTCTCCGGTGCAGGCTCCCATCTGGGTTGAGTAGTTCGGGTGGAGCTGGGTGTTTCGCGCCGCTTTCCGGTTTGCTTCACAAAGTTTCGGTTTGGGATTGGCAGGCAAAGTGGCACGGTGCTGTCAAGCAGGTGGGGAAGCTTTTGGGAAGGTGACGCCCTAAACTCGTGATGGAGGGAAGAGGTGCTCGGGCCATTTTAGCCAATGAAGTATATAGCAGGGTTGACGTTTTTCGGGATGCGGTTTCCAGTCGCGCAGTTGAGATTACGGACATAGAGCGATTGCAGACGGTACGATGCTGCAATGAGGGTAGCATACTGCAAGCCTTCAAGCAATGTCCTAAGCACTTCATACATGATCCTGTTGCTGCTTGCTGTGTGCTTGCAGAATCACTGCTGCAGAGGTGATGACAAACAAGACAGGTGCACCAGAAACAGAGCTTGTAGTCAGAATGATCCCAGATCCTCCACTACCCAGGGTTATTAAGTTGGATCCTCATCAACATCTGCTTCGTCCGAGCATGGTGCGCCAAGCATCAGAAGAAAGTTCTTACAAGGTTGGTATGAAACCTGAACCCTCAACGCAAGATATGCTCGACCCCGCAAGCCCTATTGCAATTGTTGGGGTCCTATACTCGACCTTGTAAGCCCTTGCTTTTCTCGGTGGTCACTGCTCAGATGCCTCAAATGCAGTGGGTCTCCAAGTATGACGGCGAAGTGGCTCAGCAGGGGCGACACGTCCGATTAGGTACTGCCGTTTGGGGCATGTAAGTCTCCAGGGTGCCATAACCCCCTAGACCCTAAACCGTGTGATGCCAGGGTTAGCTAGCCTTCCTGTTTGGATTACGGCCGGTTTTAGTGGTTAGTGTGTTGCGCACAAAGGCGCAGGGACGACTCAAAGTTGAACTCGCATGTCTAGCCGTGCAGGGGAGATTATGCTTATGCTTATGCTTTCCTGCTGTTGTTCTGGTTGTTCTTGTTGTTTGTGTTGGGTTTCTTGTTTGTGGATGTCGTGGTTTTGATTTTCAGCTGCAGGAGAAGCAGCGAGACGGCAATAACAGACCCACGATCTAGAACAGGATGCAGCTTCAATTCCAGGACCGGACCGTGCTCAATCCCGACCTTTCATGCAGCTTTAGATGAAAGGTCTTAGATCAGAGACACGTGCAGGCCCAGACAGATGTTGTCGAAACTTTTTGCCGGATCGTAAACCCAAGAATCCCCAAAGCCATATCCCACCAGAAGTCTCGCTGAAGCCGAGATCGCCGAGAGGCCTTTGGGCCCGTTGACGAAAGTAACGCTGAGTCTCAAGCTACCCATAGGCTCCTAAGTGGTTCCTTTTTATGGTGTATATTTAGAAATCTGTAGGGTAATCCCAAAAAGGAACTACTTAGGAGCCTATGGGTATAGGTATAGATCCTTACCGGACCTTTGTGCCCACGCTGCTGGGGAGTCTCCGCACCATGCACTATAATTGGCGGTAGAGTCAGAAGCAAGGTGTTTGTGACTCTGCTTGTGGACCCGGCGCCGTCAAATCTCCTCAACTTGGTAGTAGGGTAAACCTATATTTCTCTACACCCTAAACCCTAAAGCCTAACCCTAAACCCCAAGCTTAACCTTTAGTTCCCAAGTTTGACTTCCAAGCCTACCTACAGCTCATGACCCGAGGAAGGGTGCCGCCAAGGAGACAGAGGCAGGTGAACCATACATTGTTGATCCTTCAGTAGTAGGAGTAGTAGTAAGTAGTAGTAGTAGTAGTAGTAGTAGTAGTAGTAGTAGTAGTAGTAGTAGTAGTACTAGTAGTAGTACTAGTAGTAGTAGTAGTAGTTGTTGTTGTAGTAGGAGCAGCAGCAGTAGTAGTAGTAGTAGTTGTTGTTGTTGTTGTAGTAGGAGCAGCAGCAGTAGTAGGAGGAGGAGGAGGAAGTAGTAGGGCGAGGAGGAGGAGGAGGAGCAGGTGGGGGTCTTGTATTCATCTGGCATGTCTGTAATATGTTCTACGAGGTTAAATTCAACGGTTAGATGCTGCAGGCGAACAATGATGCTGGCTGTTTAGATTCCTGCTCTCACGAAGGGGATGATCCCGGACTCTGGGCAAACTCCCAACAATGTATGTCAAAAGCACACCCCCAAACCCTAAAGCCCTAAACCCTAAGCCCTAAACCCTAAAGCCCTAAACCCTAAACCCTAACTCTGAAGACCTTCAGTCCATGAACCTAAGTGACTTGTTCAGGGGGGAGGGCTCCAAGACTGTAGGGTTTCGGAGTGAAGGTTCTGGAGTTTAGGACTTTCGGGCTCTACGGGCTTAGCATTCTGGCTTTTGTTTCCGGTCTCAGGGGTTAGCTAGGGTTTAGTTAGCTAGGGTTTAGGGTTTAGGGCTTAGCCTGAGCAGGTTTAGGCTTCAGGGGTACAACGCAGCCTGATTCGCAGGCTACAGGCACGAAGCGGGTCTCGGTGGCTTGCCCTTAAAAATAGTCTGCTGCTTGAGGCCTAGAGTCAAGGGTTTTGGAGTCTTCAGTCTTAGGCTTCATGTATCATGTAGGGTTTACCTCTGCAAGGTCATTCCCCTAAACTTGAGGGGAATGACCTCGCAGACTGTCACAAGTTGTAGTCCAAGGTTGGCCCTAAATCCTCGAAGCAAAACCCCAAACTCTAAGCCCCCTTCGTGGGGTCCCGGGTTGGAGGTAGAGGCTTTGGGATGATATCAAACTGATCACAGGTTTAATATGCGGCTTTGATGATTCCAAAAGTTTTGGAGCATAGGGTCTGGGGACGTTCCGGGTTTGGGGTGAGAACAAGCTTTTGGGGCTTAGCGCTTGTCCTATCCTAGTTCTAGCAGGGCTTCGACACCCGTTGATGTTTGATGTGCCAATTCGGCCGAGGGCAAGCCCAGAGAGCCCAATACCCCTTCATTGAGGAATATACCTTACATCATAATATTAAGACGCCTATAATTTAAGGTAAATTCCTAAATTAAGGGGTATTGGGCTCTCTGGGAAGTTCCAGTGTGGTCCTTGGCCATTTCTGTGTTGTGCCCCGCCCCTCTGCAAAGCCCTAAACCAGGCTTTAGGGTTCACGTTTAGCTGCAAGTAAGCCTACTTTTAAGGCTCTAATTATAGATCCTAAGAAACAAAACAGGTTCTGGTACTTTAAGGGAGGGTTTGGGGTTCAGGGTTCGGCTGGGAGCCCGGATGATACGGTCGCCAGACTGTCTGTGACGGATCAAAGTGTTTTGGTTGGCGGCCTTGGTTGCCTAAGGGTCCAAGTAATCATTATTTAAGGACTTTGGGGCCCAAAAACCATAAATAAGGACTAGTTGGACCCTAAGGGGTTGCAAGAACCTTCCCTTAGGTGCAGGAACCTACCGAGATCCCCACAAGGTACTACCTTTATTAGGATACCTCACTTCCTGGATTATGGTTAGGATATGTTAGGAGCTAGGATCCTATATGGTAACAACAAAAAGGCACCCAACAAAAGTAAGGTACTGCAATGGGTTCCAGCAAGGTTCTCATCGAAGCAACGTTGAAGGTTGAAGGGTCAGCGTCTCGGGTTTAGGGTTTATAGGGTTTAGGGTTTAGGGGAGTTTTTGCCAGTTGAAAGCATCGTTCAGTGGGGTTAGGGTTCAGTGTCTGTGGGTTTACGGGTTTAGGAGTTTTGGGGCGCAGGGTTTTGGGTTAGTCTTGTGCACCGAGACTCCGATCAATACATCATAGAGCAGTGGTTGCCGTCCGGTGTTTGCTATGTTGTATCGTCCCCCAAGACAGTTCAGATGTCCCAACATCGGCAGATGCTCTTCTTACCGAGGGCACCTTGACAAAAACATCTTGCTATTCTGGAACGGGATCTGTAGAAGTTCGGTCACGGCACCCAAAGCCAAGGTCAAAGAGCTTTTGCAAGAAAGTGCTCAACCGAAAGCCCCTGCACCGCAAATGGCAACAGCTTCCCCGAAGCAGGTGCCGGCACCTGGCCTGCAGCCATCAGTGCATGACAGCTGTGTTTTCTTCTTTCTTTTGCTTTCCGTTTTGTTGGACGGGTGGCCTGCAGAGAGAGGGAGAGAGATACAGAGAGACAGAGAGCAGAAAGACAGAGAGACAGAGAGACAGAGACAGAGACAGATGGAGAGAGCAAGAGAGAGATTGGGGGATGGGGCAGCTCTCATGAGCGGAGTGCTGGGACTGCTGGTGGGTCAGTCCTTAAGTGTGCGATTGCCACGTGGCTGAATTTAATTTTTGCGCAGCAGCGATTCCTGAGGCAGCGCAGCCGCCCGCACGGCAAGTGCCAGTTGAGACACCTCCAGAGGCCACCAAGCCCGTGCAGGCAAGCAAGGCCGCTGTGCCCCAGACAGCGAGCCCCGAGGCCCCTGCGCCCACGCAGGAGAAACCGGTGGCAAAGGCACCACCAGCCCCAGCCCCGGCGACTACAACGGTTGCGGCCGCGGCGACGCTTGCGAAGCCGGCAGCGCCTGTAGAAAGTTCGGCCGCTGGCGATGCAGAACCCGTATTTGACGAGGCAGACCTAGATGTGCCGTATGTTACGGTTCAATTCAAGCTTCCGGATGGTACACTGCAAGCACCTTGGCAGGATTCAAGCACCCTCCCTGCCAACTGATGAGCTAGCAGCTAGCTGGTGTGTGCACTAGATGTTTGCCTGGCCGCAATTATATATCCTGGAAGCCGTACAATATCCGCACCATAAACTCTAAACATGCTATCTTGTGGGGAAGTGTAGTGTCATAAACACACGAGGCTGTTGGAGCAATTAATCCGTCAGCGCTGAACCTAGCCCAAACCATGAAACCATATCTCAGGACGTCTACTTCCTCACATTTCCGTTTGGTTTCGACCTCAACAAGACCAAGCCCATCACCGTGAGGCCTGGCCCTAAAGGGGTGGTGGTGAGACGGTGGGGGGGGGCAAGGGGTGCTGCCCTAGTTGACTTTGTCTAATAGCTTGACATAAACTCTAAACCCTGAAACCCCAATTGAGAATCCTTGAGCCTCGCTTCCAGCTACAACTCAGCCTGCACGTATCCCCAGCTCCAGGATTAGGGTTTAGGGTCTTACAATTGATGATAGAAATCCTGCAGTACCTTAAGGACCGTAAACTATGGGAATTATGGTATATAATCCTTATTAGTATGGGTAATACAGGATGTTTATCATCAACCGTAGGGTATTAGGGTTTTAGGGTTTCGGGTCCTAAGGTCTCAAAGTCCCAGCATCCCACTTCCGAGGCTCAAAATACGACAAAACCACGCGTGGCAGTCGGGAAAAGCACGTGCAACGAAGATGGATAGTCAGATACGCCAGATGCTAGCCGCTTACAACTTCGTAAGAGCTGATCTGTGCAGGTCCTAAAGGCCTCAAGCACCCTCTGAAGCTATCCCCAAGGATCCACATAGCCAAATAGTATATACATTGGTCCGAAAGTACCTACATAATGCCTACTTTAAGGCCAAAGTTTGTGCTCTGCGGGTATGCGGACCCTTACGGCATGGCATATCCTCAACACTCACGTCCTAAGACTGAAAGGCGAAATTCACTTGAGGATTGCTATAAGTGGGGTTATAAGTATGGTGACTATACTTATAACCCATATTAGGGGACTTACATCTCCACTTATAACTACCCATGAACCTCCAAGTGGGGTCTGAAGGCCAACCGCCTTCCGCAACCCTTGACCCGACTTGAGGGGTCCTGGGTTTAGGGTGTAGGTTTTCGGGCCTAGGGGTTTAAGATGGTTTAGGGGTTTCGGACTTGGTTTAGACCAGACTTATAGGATCATTGAACGTATGTCCGTAGTAACTAACCTGAGGTTACAACCTATATTTTTTTACCTGCTTACGACGTCTCTCAGTCGTCCATAATTCCCTAGGGCTCCAGTTGCCTGAATAGTCGGTTACTGGGGTACATAATAGAGGGTTAGTAACCCACTATTTAGGTAACTGGAGCCCTAGGGATTCTCCTAAACCCTAAACCCAAAACCCTAAACCCTAAACCCTAAACCCTAAAACCCTAAACCCTAAACCCTAAAACCCTAAACCTCAACCTGCGGCAGGAATGTGCGCGCGGGAAGTCATGCGGAGGATCTGGGAGTGCAGGCCTTCGATTTGCAATTTGGGTTTTTTACCGACCTCAAACCCTGAAGCATCTCACCGGCAAGCCCATTTTAGGTTTTCGGGGTTTAGGGTTTATAGGGTTTAGGGTTTATAGGGTTTAGGGTTTATAGGGTTTAGGGTTTAGGGGTTTAGGGTTTAGGATGATCACGTTGATGCAGGCTTCCATTGCCAGACCTAGAGGCCTGCAGGAAAGCCATGAACTTTCCGGCTATGCTATTATGGGAGTTTCCGAAAGTTGGGGGTGGTCCTTTATAATACGGATCCTACTATTTAGGGTACTATATTTGGGTCCCCTATTTTCGGAAACCCGCACATGGAGATTCAGGGTTTGGGGTAGCATGAACCCGTCCCCCAAATCTTACAACACTCGTAGCCGCCCTGTTGAAGCCAGCAAGATTCACCCGATGGTTTGAGGCTGCGCAGAGCCCTGCGCCTGGTCCTAGTGAAGTAGAAGCCAGAAAACCCCAAAGGGTCCAAAATACCTATATAGTAGAATGTAGGGTTTCTATACTAGGAATCGTTATCATGATTTGGGAAAGTATTCCCCATAACAGTACCTAGGACCCCTTTGGAATTGAAGCAGCATGATCCGAATGCTTTGGGGATCGAATGTCTTACAAGCACTCGAGCACTAGGCATTCCTATCTTCTGGAGTTCGCTATATAGGGCTTTCGGGCAGGCGTGCTTGCGGCTTAGGGGTTGCAGAACACGTCATTCTTGTGGAGGTTGGCTGGAGCATTCAAACTGTCGGCGAAACGGATGTCTCCAACATGCCTCCCGGCTCTTGCTGTTGCTGTGTGGTTTATCCCATTAAAGGCCCCTAAGCAGTTCCTGTTTATGTTTCATATTTAGAATCCTATAAGGTAATCCCAAAAAGGAACTACCTACCTCTAGGGGCCTATGGGTAGGTTCATGGGCTTGCACCGCAGTTTCAGGCTTCTAGCCGATCACGTGGTCAACTTCCTAGACTCCGGGGGCCGGGGCTCTTAACCCCCAAAATCCGCTTTGTAGCATCCGAAAGAACCATCGGAGGCCCCTATTAAAGATCCCTGAGCAATGGAACCCCCCGATCAAGAACCTCATGCCTGCGGGAGTCTAGACATCCCAAGCCCATAGGCTCCTAAGTAGTTCCTTTTTGGGATTACCCTATAGATTTCTAAATATAGACCATAAAAATTTAAAGGAACCACTTAGGAGCCTATGGGTCTCCCGCCTGTCTATCTTAAGGGCCCCTGGTCCGGGTAGTCCAAAACCCTAAGCCCCCAGCCGATTGATTCACATATTCCTGAACCCTTGGCCCTAGCCTACTAAAGCCCAAACCCCCTAAAATCTCAAACCCCAAAGCCTGAAACCCTCTAAACCCTAAACCCTAAACCCTCAACCCCAAACCCTAAACCGTAAAGGGAAGTCCTACATGTCCCAAAGCCAGGGAGATTGGCTCCTGCAAGACCAGAGCCCACAATTTAATTTAGGGTTTTGGGTTTAGGGTACTAGGGTTTGGAGTATCAGGGTGTTAGGGTTTAGGGAATAGGGTTTAGGGTATTAGCGTGTTAGGGTTTAGGGATTAGGGTTTAGGGTTGAGGGTTTAGGGTTTAGGGTATTAGTGTGTTAGGGTTTAGGGCATTAGGGTTTAGGGTGTTAGGGTTTAGGGTCTTAGGGTATTAGGGTTTAGGGTGTAGGGTATTAGGGTATTAGGGTATTAGGGTTTTGGGTTTGGGGTTTGGGGTTTAGGGTTTAGGGAGTCTGTTTTGTGTTCATAACACGGTTTAGGGTTTAGGGTTTAGGGGCTTCAGGGTTTAACAACTTTACAAATATTATCCCAGCAACGCCCGATACTATGCTATATTGTACTTTCCTATATAGTAGTATGTCCCTCCACCCTATTCTGATTACCTTATTCTGATTACGGCCCTATTTAGGTAGTTCTCTCAACCAGGATCCCGTCTTAGGTCCACAAAATTACGGCACCCTAAAAGTGAGACCCTAAAAGGGATGCGCGTGGGCTGCTGATGGTCTTCCTGGAGCAGAAAAAGAAGTTAGAGGCGAAGTGAGTGTGCCAAAAAGTGCTGAGGCAGATGCATCAAAGCTGCTGGCTTCCGGGGGATAACACGTATATTTCCTCAAAAGGAGAGCTTTAAACTTCGTGGGTTTTTTGTATAACTTGGTCTTTATCAAAAAGGCTTGTGCTGTCTGGGACTTGGGTCTTGAAGAAAAGTGATTCGGCTACGACCCGCTAATTTACGCCACATGTTACCTAGGCTGGGTGGAACCAGGCCCCGAACACTAGATCCTAAGCCCTAAGCCTTGTCTTCGTCAAGTCTAAGCGGAGAAAAAGCGGCACCTTTGCAAATGCCGATGTGGTTCTGTGCCAGCTTCGTCAGACCTGTAGAATCTCGCAGTTTTAGGATTGAGGGTTTGGTGGGTTTCGTGTTCGTGATACCACAAAGCCCTACTCTAATGATTGATTAAGTCTCGTATATTCCAGGCTTTAGGCTTTGTTGGGCCGGTAAGGTGACTTTCCTAACCCCCCCAGGTACCTACTATATAGGGTACTAGAGCCCCTAAAACCCCATATAGTAGGTACCTGGGCAGTTAGGGTTTGTTGATTTCTCGACGCATCTGCCTGACGCACCTTGACCGTAGGCCTACTTTTGGCGGCTGTCCCACAGGGTTCCGGACTTGAGGTCTTCAAGACTTTGCGAATTTAGGGTTTAGGGTTTAGGCGCTTTAGGGTTTAGGGTTAAGGGTTCAGGGTTTGGGGGATTCTCAACTGTAGAGGTTAGGGTTCAGCACGACTTCGGGGTGTTGGGCGAGCCTCGTTGTGCTTTGAACCCTCGGATGCGCTGCAATGTCAGTCAGGAGTCAGGTGTTAGCAAGGATGCTTGCACTGTCGGCAGGGGTCAATGAATCTGTGTTTCTTTTCTGTGTATGTATGTGTGTGTATATATATATATATTTACATAGAAAAGAAACAAGTCAATAAATGTACATACATACATACATACATACATACCTACATACATACATACATACATACATACATACATACACACATACATACACACATACATACTATATACATACATACACACATACATACATACATACATACATACCTACGTACATACCTACGTATATACCTACGTACATACCTACGTACATACATACATGCATGCATGCATATATCAATCATAGATGTGCAGAGAGAGGAAGAGAGGGAAATATATGTATGAACGAGTGAAGAATGAACGAAATGAAACGACCATACAATGAGAGATACTTGAACACCAAATGAGCATCACACGAACATGGCTTTGAAATCGCATGGTTTGGATGAACGAAAGAAAACATTATGAACTATTGAATGCATGGACGAATGCAAGCGACATGAATGAACGAATGAATGAATGAACGAATGAATGAATGAATGGATGAATGGATGGATGGATGGAAGAACTAATCAATGAAAGAAAGAAAGGAATAAACTCAAATGAATGAATGCATGCATGCATGTATGTATGGATGGATGGATGGATGAATGAAGGAATGAATGAATGAAGCAAAAGAAAGAAATGAGTCGAATGAATGAATGAATGAATGAATGAATGAATGAACGACGAGGCGAGTGAGTGAGTGATTGGTTGGATGGACACGTGGATATGAGGATGGATGGATGGATGCATGGATGGATGAATGCATGGATGCATGAATGGATGAACGATAAATGGACGAATTCATGAATCAATGGATGAATG